AGACAGAAGAGCTAATTTTCCAAAACTAATAGACTGGATTATGGAGGGGAAATAGTCTTAAAACATTTTTTTTAAGTGTCTATTTTTTCCAAGAAGCTTCCAGTTTCACAAAATGATTTCTGATGAAAACACCACATGTCTACCCTGCAGATTTGGCCAAGAGCTTTTGGAAAGATTAGACTCAAATAATCAAAAGACACAAATCTGGATGAAATGGAGCCACAGTGAGGACATCAAGACAAGCTTAAGAGGGATGATGAATTATTTAGTCCTAAATGAAGCCTCGTATTACCTGGGAGGAGGACAAATTACTCATATTTCAAATGCATATGACTCTTTGAGGAGAAAAGAATCTTTAATGTAGAATCAAGTCTCACTTCTATTTGCAACAGCAATTTTCTACCCAGGCAGATAGAACACTGGGAGCTAATAAGCTGATTTTACTCATTTCAACTGACTTCCAATCTGGGCATTACCACTACACTACTATAACTATCCTCTTTCTTTAGCATTCACAGGGTTTTCAATGGCCTGTTATTTAGGAAATAGATGGTCCATCCTGCTTCCTAGTCTGTCTTAGTCAGAGAGTTCCACCAAAACCTGTCCACTATGGGAAACCCAAATAATTTGACATGCCAGTGGCAATTAATCTCACAGAAACCTCAAAATTATCTCAGTAGAGCAAACTGACAGACAAGTGCTGCATCACTGAGAACAACGTTTTCCTCAACCACAATAAAAATTATGCCCAACAACAAGAAGAAGTAAGCTGGAAGGACCTAAGATCTACAACTTTTACTCTGGGAAATAACTTTGGCTCAACAAGAACAACCCAATGAGCGTTACTAGATAAATACCCCTCTTGACACCACCATCATTACCACCACCAACATCATCACCACCAAAAACACCACCATCCCACCCCAAACCCTCAACCACCACTATCAGCATCCCCACTATTACATCACTACTACTACTACCACCATCACTATCACCATCATCCCCACCACCACCAACCCACCGCCACCATCACTACACCACTACTACTACCACCATCACTCCTGTCACCACCACCATCAACACCATCATCACCACCACTATCACTATTACCATTACCACTACCCCCCCCTTCCACAAAACTGGATGTTAGAGACTATCCTAATATCTTTATGAAACTAACTTTAATCTCCTCTAAGACCATTTATTGGAAGGAGGAGTGGCATCCACTTCCGTAATAGCTTGCCTCTGGAAACCCTATGAACCTGGAGAGGATGAAAGGCACCCAAATGTTGAGGGCTCTCCTTTATAGGGTTGCTAAGAGTTGCCTGTGACTCAAAAGCACCTAACAACAACAATAATAAGACCATTTAAGTCAACTCATCGTATTGTTCTAATTAGAATGGAGAACAGTCATCTTCATGTTCATACAGAAGGTCCTTTTACGTTTCAAGAATCAGCTCTATGGATGCAGCCTTCTTAAAGCCACCCATGTTCTCATTTATAAATTTCATATATATTTGGTTTGGTTTGGGTTTTTTTTTGTTTTTTGTTGGTGTGTGTGGTTGTTTTTTTTTTAAATCAGGCACATTTCAATTCTTCTTCTATGTAAGGTGCATGACAGAACGTTGAAATGCAGAACTCACAATGCCATGCATATTAGGGACAACAATCAGTATCAGCCACTTCTACAAATTAATTTATGTTTTGTTGTTGTTGTGTAACACAGAGTCGGAGCCACCCATAGCTGACCCTCCAGCGGGTATTCAGAGGCAATTAATTACAAGGGAGGAGATTGTCCATCCAACTGCAGAACAGCCCATGGATTTAAAAATTCATGCCTTCGGGATTGCAGTGCAGTTTCTTGCCCCTACTAGAGTTTTTCAAGGATCACCTCAAATTTCTACTTACTTCCTTTCCCTCTTTATTTTTTGGCTTTACATTCAGTGTAATCAAAGCTGGGTCACTATTTGTGCTGTTAAGTGATGGTCATGGGAAGTCCTAAATTTATCTCCATGGACTGCCTGTTCTGCTTCTGAAATATTTCCCATTCCTACCCCACTGGAGCCATCTCATGTATGATGCCAATTTGGATCATGTCTTTATTTTTTATTCAGTCTATTAAAAAAGGCCATGCAATAAATTCTAGTAGCAGAAGTAGAACTGGTACTTCAACAACTCCTTAATCCATTTAGACTTCTTTTTAATTTTTCCTTTCATATTGGTTTCCTTATAATGTTCATACACATTATTTTTCACATTATCCTATATTCACATTGTGTTTCATACAATCATTCCCATTCATTATATTTTATAAAATTAATCATCATTGAACTATACTCATCATTACCTTGTTTTCTAGATCTGTCCCATTTCTTTTACTCACTCCTCCCTCTACCCACCAAATTGTGTGACCCTATGATTTGCCCCCACTGATCCTCACCCCTCTGTTGCAAGCCTCCTCATATTGGATCTGTATATATGTGTTCCTAGTTATGTTTCTATTTCTACAATAATGGTCTAATGCAGTATTTGTCATTATGGGACTGAGGTAGTTCACTCAGTATAATGCTCTCTAGTTTCTCTCAAGTTATGTAGTGATTTTCTAAATCATTGCCTCTGAGTGCTGCGCAGTATTCTATCACATGAATGTACCACAATTTCTCAACCCATTCAATTGTGTTTGGACATTTGGGCTATTTCCATGTACTTGTGATGATGAATAATGCTGCTAAGAACAGTGGTGCACAAATCTCCATTTGTGTCTCAGTTCTAATTTTCTTGGGATTTATTCCTAGCAGTGGAACAGCTGGGTCATATGTAATTTCTAGGTTCAGCTTTTTGAGAAAATGCCAAACTGCCTTCCAGAGTGGTTGTACCATTTTGTAATACCATGAACAGTATATGAGCATTCCTCTCTCTCCACATGCTCTCCAACATCTATTGCCTACTGCCTGTTAAGCTTTGCCACTGCTACTGGGGTGAGATGATATCTCATTTTTATTTTGATTTGCTACTTTCTTATTGCCAGTGATTTTGAGTATTTCTTCATGTTAGACTTCCTTGGTCTCCATACGGTGCAAGTCCAAACATGAGCACAGTACACAAGACCCAGTCTCATTTGGCTTTTCCACATATCTCAATATTAAGGACAAACTCTTAATACCATGCAGGTCATTACTTAATTGCATTGGTTTCTATGAACTTACAATTGACACCACTGGGTCCCTATCTAGGCTTTCCGTCTAGCCGGGAAACTCTTCCCTTGTCCTCCATCCTCAGGTGTACTTTACCTGCCACAACTGTGAGAGGTATTCATCAGCTCCACAAGTAGGATGAGTCAAGCTCTCCTTCCTGTTCACAGTGAAGGATGCAGCCACTCGGCGTGTGGGCCTTACTGTGGAGCACTAAGATGCATTTATGGGCATCGCTGTGTCACTATAGACTTTCTTTTTACATCAACTAGCAATCTGCTTCATAGTGTCTTGCTTTTAATCATTGAGTTGGATGCCAGTTCATTGTGACTCTATGTACAATGACACAAATCCTTGAGATCCATAGATTTCATTGCCTAACTTTCAGAAAAATATCTCCAGGTCTTTCCTCAACTGAAACTGTTCTGACATTATACCAACATGCAAGCCATCACTGACACATCAGTAGCTGCACAAAGGCTGGGAACTGAATCCACATCTTCAGTGGTATAGTCCATAAAGGAGGTGTGATGCTCACACCAAGGCTGCACCTCTCTGTGGTGATTCGAATCCACCAGAGGCTTTGTGAGAGAAAGATGGGCAATCTCCTCCTATGAGATTTACAATACCAGAAAGTCAATGGTCAGCTATGAGTTGGTTCTCACTCAGCAAAAATCAGAGGCTCTCCTGAATAGATGACAATTAAAGCACTATCCAAATACTTCCCTCTTCTTTCACAGAAATTAAAAAGAATGAGCTACATAAAATCATCCACGAATACTTGATTTCCCAAATCAGAGATGACTAAATGGTTTTCAGGACTGAGATACAGACCAATGTTTCCCAACAGTTCAAACTGGTTCAGCTGGGCCAAGGGAAAACTCAGACTCAAATTAGTAAAATGCATATAATATCAAGAAGAGTCAAGTGAGAAACGAAAGCAACAATAACAATAAAAGCTCCTAAACTTTCAAACTTATTGTGTCCTAGAAGGAACCAACTCCAACTGAGTATCCAGGGGGTTTTGGAAGCCTGCCCAACGCATGGGAGAGACAAAGCCTCTGGTGAACATGATCCACCAGTGAGGTGCTGCCTGCAGGCTAACAGTGCAACTATCTACGGACTACATCACCGGTCATAGGGAAGGAAATGGCATCATGATCAGAAAAGCAGAGGGTCAGTGAGGCATAAAGCCTTCAGAAGATGGACTGACCCAGCAATTGCAACAGTGGGAATCTGGAAGGATGAGCAAGGCTTCCCTCTGTTGTATGCAAGGGTGCTACAAGTCAGGGCCAATTTGAAGGGAGCCAACAACCGCCGCTCTATAGCAGTGATAAATGGGCTAAAGCATGAATCAAAGCACGTGAATGTGAGGCTGAGAAGAGGCAAGTGTCCTTCCAGGAGCTGGGTGTGGGAGACAGGATTAACTCCCGGAATGTGGGGATCAACACAGAATCAGAGCAGCACAGCACCATCTCTGAGAGGCCCAACTCTCCTGGTCAAGAGATTTGGCTGTTATGCAATATGCACACTGCCTTGTGGTCTAAAAAGAGGGATTCCATTTCTAGCAGAATATAGTTTTTCCCACTTCCAATTATTCTGGTACCTGCATATTTTACAAATTCAGTTCTCATCTAGCTTTATTTCATCAACCATGATGGAACCATGACCAGATGTGAAGTTCAGCTTTGGACCATACTTGCCACCCATTCTTTATTTCTTTGTCTTTGAACCAGAAAGGAAAGTCCTACAGAATGCCAAGTACACAAGCCCACCAGTATTTAGCTGAGAGCAAGGGACATGCCGTACCTGATGGACCATGGCGCACACACTCTCTTCCTTCTGCGGCTCGGGAGGTCCCTTACTCTGCAGTAAGCTGCGGACTGTTTCTTCCATCCTAGGGGGAGAAATGAAAACATTTCTTTAAGGAAGGTTCCCTGTTAATACAGGCCTGTTGTTAGTAAAAAGAACTCTTTATTTGCCATTTTCAGACCCAATCTCTTCTCATCCATATCCTTCATTTCCCATTAAGAATAGTCAATGAAGAATATTCAAACTATTCTTAGCATTTTTGGGTTCTCTGTCTTTTTCTTTACGATTTCTGTTTCCATCTGTGGCCTACTGCATTTGTCCTCATGCAAACATCTCCCCAAATTTCTCTTTACTCTCACTCATTCCCTTTCACTTTAACACAAAGTCTCATCACATTAATCTTCCAGAAGCATCACTTTGACCTTTAAAAATCAACTTGGAAAGTTAACCAAAAATTGCACTAGTGTATTCTCTCCATACACAGGTGCCTGTCTGTCCAGTGTGATCTTGCACAGAAAGATCTTTCCTTTTTTCAACTGCTTTGTAGCACTCAGTGAGGAGTGTGACTCCACCACCATACATGTAACCTTTCCGCTACTGAAGGAATGCCAGTCATTTAAAATCTTTTCTATCTGAAACAGTGAACACCTTCATATACCTCTCTTTGTCTACATTCATGTCTATTTTGAGAGGCTGTAACACAGATGCTAGAATTCTGTTTCACTTTCATTGCCAACTTCCAAAGGCATCTCATTTCCCAAAAGTAAACAGTAAAGCAAACACTCATCTCTTTGAACAATGGCTTTAAGGAGAGGAGAGATTGGGAGGCTAGCACAGGACCCCACGGGCATTTCATGTTGCCGTATGCAGGAAGGCTGGGATTCAGAGGCAACTAGGTCGCATCTAACTATAATAACAACAACATTAACCAAACACAGCAGCCCCTGTCAAACGGGCATGGCTTACATCCAGGGGGATGCTTTTGCATGACCAAGTATTTTAATTGGAAACTAAGCCTTGTCCTAGGGTGCACTGCCTGGGGGAGCACTGCCAGGAAGGGAACACAGAGCTTTCTGACCTGGGGAAAGGATATGATACAGAAGAGGCCAACTGTTCCTGCCAAAACATAAACATCAGGGTGCAAATTCTGAAATAATAAGCAATCAGAACCCACCTGTAAATCTGTTTTGTTATATAGAAACAAATAAAAACTTTTAAGTAGTTCTGGAGTTTCCCCAATGCTCACCCAAATCTATCATAAACACATAATGACAATGCAAGCCTTTGTTTCTGACATATTAGTCTACTTTCTTCATCTTTCATAAAGCTCGGCATCCTTTGAAACCTGACAGAGGGTGGCTTTCCGTTAACATCACATGGAGATGATGGGGTTCTTTGCACCTTAGAACAGAGGGCAAAGGCCATTCTTACTTGATTCTGTACTATTATTACTCATTCATAAAAATCTGGCTTAGAAAGGGCCCAGTGGATAAGACTGACTTAAAGTAACCTGCCCTTTTCTTTTTCTTTAAGTTACAATAAGACTCTTAGGGCATATCTTGCTGAATTATCTCTTCTATGTAATTAAAAAGCTCTATTCACAAGTTGCTGGATCAAAAAGAAAAACATCTTTTCACCTTTCTCCCATTCTTCTTGGCTTTGTATTTGATAAAAGAAAAAAAAATGGAAAAAGAATGTGCGGGCAGGAAGCTGTTCAGAGGCATCTGAGGCTGACCCAGCACCCCTTCCATGGTGCCATGAGCTGTTTTCTGGCACTGCTTTGTGATTAATTAAAACCAATTACATTTTCAACCTACGGCTTGGAACAGAATTGCAGGGCCTCATCCTAATTCTTGTTAAAAAATTATGTTGTTGCATCTTTTCATAACCTTTTGGATTCGGTCACAGTGAAAATGTCTTAAGCCTGATGTGTAGATACCATTATTCATTTCCTGATGGCATCGTCTATTTTAAATTTTCATTTAGCAGGCTTATCTCTTTATTTTCCCGAAGAATCAAAGATAGCGAGACTTCTCTTGGCAGACATTTTCCTTCATTTTATTCCTTTGCTGGCTGATGCCTGGGGGTCTGCAGTACCAGACTCAGCTCAGTGCAGCTCTCCCACCTGTTTCCTAAATGCAAGAGAGCTGATGCCTCCCTCCAGTTCAGGCATGGGTATTGCTGGTTGAATTTTTGTGCTGACATCTTTTCCCCTTAGGGAGCTGTGGTGGCCTGGTGGTAAGAAGCTGCACTGCAATACCAAAGGCACATGGTTCAAGGCCACCAGCTGCACAGTAGGAGAAAATGGGCAGTCTCCTCCCATGCTATTAACTGCCTCTGAAAACCTGCCAAAGCTGTGGGTTGGTTTTGACTCTGTGGTACCCAACAATAACAATGACATGTCAAGCTGCTGGGGTACAATTTATCTCTAAACATTAACATGAATTAATGTCTTCTAGGTTTTTCTGTTTTTTGCCTTTTTGTTGCTATTGTTGTTGGGGTGTTTTTTGTTTGTTTGGTTTTTTTTTTACCCAACCTGGAGTAAAATCCTTTCTTTCCCTAAAGACCATTTAAATAACTGTAATAATTAAAATAGGCAGACCTTATTATAGTTACTGGTATGCCATTAAGTTGATGTCATACAGGAAAATTCTTTTCCTTAAAAAAGAAAAAACAAAACACAAAATCCAACAAAAGGCCCAGTATGTTCAAGGAAACAGCTACAGATCCATGTATTTTACTTTATTAAAAAATAGATTCCATTTTATATGCACTTGTTGTTGTTGTTGATTGCCTTCAAGTCAAGCACAACTCATAGCGACCCTATGAACAAAAGGCCTGAAGCCCTTCTACAACTACTGACATTTGTCAAAGTTCATAGAGTTCATAGAGTTCCAAAGACATGTTATTCAGGAAGTGGATGCCACTCCTATTTCCAAAACCGTCATAGTTTATTATTGTTGTTATGTGCCATTGAGTCACCTGCAACGTTATGTACAGCAGCTCTGAGCCCTTCCCTGTCCTGAGCCAGCCTAACTCTGACACACCAACCCCCATCACCCCAGTTACTGTATCAGTCCGTCACATCTGGAGTCTTCCTGTCCTGCACTGTCCACCCACCCTTCTGAGCATGATATCCTTCTCCAAGGACTGATCTCTCCTGGCCATGTGCCCAAGGTGAGGTGGACTATGGGAAGCCAAACTTTATACCAAATATTATATGAAAACCCTTGTTCAGGAATTGAAGGAATTACAGATTTATAAATTAGAATTTCTCTTGTGGCAGATCCTAGAAAATGAGCTGTTTGTTCCCTGCAAGACAGGAGACAGCAAAGGGCCCCCTACAGAGAGAGTGTTACTTCCTGAGCTAGATTTCACCCTGAGGTATCAAGGTTAATAGTTAAGGGTAAACCAAATTCTTGCATTTGTGAACCCCTCCCTCCTGAGTCAAGTAGAAGGTTTTCAATAGAAAGAGCTTGGCTTCATTTGCATTGAATTCTCTTTGTGATTTACTTCCTGATAATTTTCAATAAAGATACAGAGAAGCTTGGCTTGGGGTCTTCAGTCAAGAACTGCAGGCCCATTTTATGCTCTCTGCTCTATCACATTCCTGGCTGTTTGTCTCTTTATTAATAATTATAAAATTATTCCATTCTTTGGGACCCTCGGTCTGCAACAGTGGACCTTCAAAATCAGAGCCTCCAAGGAAAGACCTGGTTTCACCCTCTCCAAGACAGACCAGTCTGTTTTCTTGGCAGTCCATGGTATGTTCAAGACTCTTCTCCAGAATCACAACATGTATCTAGTCTTCTTCTGTCATCCTTAGTCACTGTGCAGCTCTCTGAAGCATAACACATAATTGAGAAGACCGTGGCCTGGATTAGGCACACCTTTGTTACCTAGACTGATAATGATTGCTCTTCAGCATTCTAGAGAGGTCCATGACAGCAGATATGCACTTAGCATTTAAATGATAGATGCTAGTATTTCCTCTGGTAGCAATTAAAGGTATAGACTTTGCTTAATAAAGAAACTAATTTGAAGTTAAGGAATTGGAAAATTAATTCATGATGTAGGAGATAAAGAACAATTCAAAACCATGCAGAGTGTGATCTGCAAATCATAGCATCCAGGCCCGCTGAGTGCCCAGGAGCCACCTTGTTCCTAGATCCTCTTGGAAAGTGCAGACACTCCCTGCTATTAGGTCTGCATCCAATGTAGGAAGATTCCTCTGGAAGGAACTGCTCAGTGATGTCCTCAATGCTAGCAAGTCCTGATTGCAGAGTTCCCAGGAACTACTCGTAACCTGATGGGGGCACTTCCATGACCACTCTTAATACTCTATCAGCTCCATGGGAGAAAACCAGGAGATCTTCTTCCTGTGTGATTTACAAACTCCAAAACTCAATGGAACATCAAATGAGACAGTTCTGACGCAATGGCTAAATGTGAAAGAGAAATGCTTTCATGGATAAAAGCCTAATAGTATCAAGAGCTTAAAAGACACTAAGAGACCATGACGTGGACCCTGAAAACTTAGACTTACTTAATAATGCATGTCAGAAAATAGGGCTCCAGGATATATTAGGAGTGGGTCTTCTAACATGTCAATTAAACATGAGCTTTCCTGCATCCCTTCCTTCCTCCTTAAATCTAGTCCTCCATTTCCCCAATGATATTCCAGCAACTGATGAGGATGTTAGACTGAAATGTTCTTTTCTGATCCCAGGGCTGAGGTACTCTGTCTAGCACAACTTCAGATCCAACAGAAACAGGATACAGTAAAAAATCAAACAAAAATTTGCTGCCCACATGGAAACTGACACTCTTTTCACTTAAGGATGATCTCAGCCATGTTTGTACTTTTAAGAAATACTTGAGCACAAATATTTGCAACTTTAGCAGACAATTAATTAATGCAAATGACTCAATAGTCTGTTGCATTCTTTTTTTAATTATTATTAAATTTTATTAGTTTTAATGAACATTTACAGAGATTTTGGGTTTTCATTCATTCATTGTTGCACTGTTTTCTCTACCATCCTCCCCAGTGCATTCTTCTCCCACCCCACCCCCCGAATGTCT